AAGAGCGGAGGACAGCAAAAGGGTTATTTCAAGCCCAGCCGAAGCCAGGATATCGTGGTATGCTGCATCTCCCAATTTGATAATCGTACACTCCCAAGATCCAACAGTCATCGTGTCAGCAGCTAGATTACTCAAACAAAATAGCAACACATACACGGCCATAGCTCCACACATGCCCTCGTCCGAACCTAGGAAGCCACTGATGCAAAGAGCGGAGGACAGCAAAAGGGTTATTTCAAGCCCAGCCGAAGCCAGGATATCGTGGTATGCTGCATCTCCCAATTTGATAATCGTACACTCCCAAGATCCAACAGTCATCGTGTCAGCAGCTAGATTACTCAAACAAAATAGCAACACATACACGGCCATAGCTCCACACATGCCCTCGTCCGAACCTAGGAAGCCACTGATGCAAAGAGCGGAGGACAGCAAAAGGGTTATTTCAAGCCCAGCCGAAGCCAGGATATCGTGGTATGCTGCATCTCCCAATTTGATAATCGTACACTCCCAAGATCCAACAGTCATCGTGTCAGCAGCTAGATTACTCAAACAAAATAGCAACACATACACGGCCATAGCTCCACACATGCCCTCGTCCGAACCTAGGAAGCCACTGATGCAAAGAGCGGAGGACAGCAAAAGGGTTATTTCAAGCCCAGCCGAAGCCAGGATATCGTGGTATGCTGCATCTCCCAATTTGATAATCGTACACTCCCAAGATCCAACAGTCATCGTGTCAGCAGCTAGATTACTCAAACAAAATAGCAACACATACACGGCCATAGCTCCACACATGCCCTCGTCCGAACCTAGGAAGCCACTGATGCAAAGAGCGGAGGACAGCAAAAGGGTTATTTCAAGCCCAGCCGAAGCCAGGATATCGTGGTATGCTGCATCTCCCAATTTGATAATCGTACACTCCCAAGATCCAACAGTCATCGTGTCAGCAGCTAGATTACTCAAACAAAATAGCAACACATACACGGCCATAGCTCCACACATGCCCTCGTCCGAACCTAGGAAGCCACTGATGCAAAGAGCGGAGGACAGCAAAAGGGTTATTTCAAGCCCAGCCGAAGCCAGGATATCGTGGTATGCTGCATCTCCCAATTTGATAATCGTACACTCCCAAGATCCAACAGTCATCGTGTCAGCAGCTAGATTACTCAAACAAAATAGCAACACATACACGGCCATAGCTCCACACATGCCCTCGTCCGAACCTAGGAAGCCACTGATGCAAAGAGCGGAGGACAGCAAAAGGGTTATTTCAAGCCCAGCCGAAGCCAGGATATCGTGGTATGCTGCATCTCCCAATTTGATAATCGTACACTCCCAAGATCCAACAGTCATCGTGTCAGCAGCTAGGTGACTTAAACAAAATGGCAACACATACACTGCCATAGCTCCA